TGTGTGGAGTAAGGAGACTTGCCCGCTGTTTCACCCGGCTAAAAATCATTCATTTTAACAGTAAAATATTGAAATGAAATGATTTATTAATCGTGGCGTTTGGCCCAGCACCCGATCGCATCGGCGAGACGCCTCAGGACACACTGCAAAGTGTAGTGACTGTGCATTTTGAGGGCTATCGAGATGATGATGTTCAACAGATGTATTTAAACTGAAGTCTAACCTCTCCGGATTTCATATCTGGTGGTTTCCCATCAAACACGTAAACAGGTTTAATCCCACTCTCCACCATCCGTATGGTCCGGTAAAACATTCCCATTAAATGGCTAAACACCGGGAGAAACAGGTTAGAGGTTGACACACAATCTCGCGCTTTCACACACATACACGCACGCACACACACAGCGCTGCTCACACAGACTGACACGCACACGCACACAGCGCTGCTCACACAGACTGACACGCACACGCCACACAGCACTGCTCACACAGACACGCACACACACAGCGCTGCTCACACAGACTGACACTCACACACACACACACAGCGCTGCTCACACAGACTGACACTCACACGCACACGCAGCACTGCTCACACAGACTGAGACACACACACACAGCGCTGCTCACACAGACTGACACACACGCACACACAGCGCCTCTCACACACACACACATACGCACGTCTCAGAGACTGACAACACCTTGCGCTCACACACACAGACGAAGAGAGACAAGAGAGGGAGACAGAGAGAGAGAGGCAGAGGGGGAGACACACACACACAGACTGAGTGAGACAGAGAGACAGACAGAGGGGGAGACACACACACACACAGACTGAGTGAGACAGAGAGGGAGAGACAGAGAGGGAGACAGAGAGAGAGAGACAGAGGGGGAGACACACACACACAGACTGAGTGAGACAGAGAGACAGACAGAGGGGGAGACACACACACACACAGACTGAGTGAGACAGAGAGGGAGAGACAGAGGGGGAGACACACACACACAGACTGAGTGAGACAGAGAGAGAGAGAGACACACACACACACAGACTGATTGAGACAGAGAGGGAGACAGAGAGAGAGAGAGAGACAGAGGGGGAGACACACACACACAGACTGAGTGAGACAGAGAGGGAGACAGAGGGGGAGACACACACACACACAGACTGAGTGAGTGAGACAGAGAGAGAGAGACACACACACACACACAGACTGATGAGACACAGAGAGAGACACAAGAGACAGACACACACACACACACAACGGACCACGCGCACGTCTCAAGAGCTGGACAATGCCGCACGCGCGCACGCCTCATCCGTGTGGTGACCGCGTTGCGTGTTGGCTGGCGTGTTACCTGGTCGTTTCCCCACTCTCCGTCTGCAACACCTGCCCGTCATGTCTGACCGCAATCAGAAACTGATAGATGCTCATGGACGCGTCGATCGCAATCTTACGCCCTGAAAATATTCACGTTTACTGATTATTAAATGTCCCTTTAGCTCAGGGGGTCAGACCCCTCCCCTCACACCCCACAGCCCCTGTACCCCAGGGGTTAGACCCCTCCTCTCACACCCCACAGCCCCTGTAGCTCAGGGGTTAGACCCCTCCCCTCACACCCCACAGCCCCTGTACCCCAGGGGTTAGACCCCTCCCCTCACACCCCACAGCCCCTGTAGCTCAGGGGTTAGACCCCCCCTCACACCCCACAGCCCCTGTACCCCAGGGGTTAGACCCCTCCCCTCACACCCCACAGCCCCTGTAGCTCAGGGGTTAGACCCCTCCCCTCACACCCCACAGCCCCTGTACCCCAGGGGTCAGACCCCTCCCCTCACACCCCACAGCCCCTGTAGCTCAGGGGTCAGACCCCTCCCCTCACACCCCACAGCCCCTGTAGCTCAGGGGCTCAGACCCCTCCCCTCACACCCCACAGCCCCTGTAGCTCAGGGGTCAGACCCCTCGCCCCCCCCCACAGCCCCCGTGGCTCGGCCCCCGATACCCACGCACAGTCACTACACTCGACGGCGTGTCCCGTGAAGCGCTCTGGGGCGTCGCGGTGCCGCAGTAAGTCTCACCGAAGTAGTTTTTTAGCTCCTGTTCGCGAATCGCACCCGGAGCGATGTCAGCGATCAACTTCGCTAAACCCTGTATCCCCATCTCTCCCTCTCTCTCTCTCCGTCTCCTTTCTGTCTCTCTCTCTCCCTCTCCCTCTCTCCGTCTCCTCTCTCTCTCTCTCCGTCTCCTTCTGTCTCTCTCCCTCTCTATCACTCTCTATCTCACACTCTATCCCTCTCTCTCACTCACTCTATCCCTCTCTCCCTCACTCTATCCCTCTCTCTGTGTCTATCACTCTCTATCTCACACTCACTCTATCCCTCTCTCTCCCTCTCTATCACTCTCTCTCTCTCACTCTATCCCTCTCTCTGTGTCTCTGTCACTCTCTCTCTCACACTCTCTCTCTCTCTCTCACTCTATCCCTCTCTCTGTGTCACTCTATCACTCTCTCTCTCACACTCACTCTATCCCTCTCTCTGTGTCTCTCTGTCACTCTCTCTCTCTCTGTGTCTCTCTGTCACTCTCTCTCACACTCACTCTATCCCTCTCTCTCTCTCTCTCTATTTCTCTCTCTCACGCTCCACCTCTCTTTTTTTTTCTCGATCTCTTTTTTTTCACACTCTCTCTCTCTCTCTCTCTACGTATCTCCTTCTCTCTCTCTCTCTCTCCCTCTATTTCCCTCTCTCTCTATCTCTCCGATTTCCCCGCCGTTTCGCTTGGTGGTGGGAGGGGCCGCGCGCTGCCCGCCGGTCTGCTGGAGGACCGGCCGGGAGGACCTGACGCCGCCGACCAATCAGCGCGGTCGGCCGGCGCGTGACGTCGCAGTCGCCGCCCACTCGGCGGCGGCGCCAATCAGCCGCGCGTCACAGTCAGTCGCCGCCCACTCGGCGGCGACGTCAATCAGCCGCGCGTCACAGCCAGTCGCCGCCCACTCGGCGGTGACGTCAATCAGCCGCACGTCACAGTCGCCGCCCACCCCCCCCCACCCCTCGGCGGTGACGTCACAGCCTCCCACAGCTGATCGATATTTTGGTGATCAATACCTTATTGGGGGACTGTGACGATCGATTCCCCCCTTTTAATAATAATGATTCGGTCGCGTCAACCCCCCCCCGCGGCTGTCTGTGGGGAGGTCGCTGGGGGCGCGGCCGGCTGCCGGCGAAACACACAGTCACTACACTTTACAGTCTCGACGGGTGTCTGTCTGTCTGTCTGTCTATCCGTCTGTCTCTCTCTCTCTCTCTCTCTATCTCGCTCGCTCGCTCAGGGCATCGCCCTCTCTAAGTAAATCACATCACGGTTCCAGAGTCCAGTGTTTTGTAAGAGTTTACAGAGCTTTCGACGTTCGCCCCGGACTGCGGTCAACAACAACAACAACAACAAGATTCCATTTATATCTGTCCCGTCGAAAACAGGTCAAATTCCACACCGGACAGACACACGCACACACACACAGCCAGAGGGAGAGACCGAGGCAGAGGCAGGAAACAGAGACGGGGGAAAAGCGGGAGCGAGAGAGAGAGACAGGAATACAGAGGGAGGGAGACCGAGACACACACAGAGCGAGAGAGAGAGAGAGAGAGAGAGAGAGAGACTTGAACCATGGAATTTGCGAAAGATTATTTCTCATCATCTGCATCATCGATAATGAGGTACAATTGTCTATAAATTGTCCGTCCTGTGTCTGTGACTAACCCTGACCTGGGGGTGTAGTGACTGTGTGTTACTGTGTCTGTAACCCTGACCTGGGGGTGTAGTGACTGTGTTACTGTGTGTGTAACCCTGACCCGGGGGTGTAGTGACTGTGTTACTGTGTGTGTAACCCTGACCCTGGGGTGTAGTGACTGTGTGTGTAACCCTGACCCGGGGGTGTAGTGACTGTGTTACTGTGTGTGTAACCCTGACCCTGGGGTGTAGTGACTGTGTGTGTAACCCTGACCCGGGGGTGTAGTGACTGTGTTACTGTGTGTGTAACCCTGACCCTGGGGTGTAGTGACTGTGTGTGTAACCCTGACCCTGGGGTGTAGTGACTGTGTTACTGTGTGTGTAACCCTGACCCGGGAGTGCGGACGGACGCACAGTGTGGAGGAGCTTTACTGTGTATGTGTGTGTCTCTCTCTATAGATCAGTCTCCTCTGTTGGTTCGGAGATGTCCAGGAGAGTTTGGGCTCTCTCCCTTCCTCAAAGACCGTTCCGTGTGTGTAACCATGACAGAAGTTTGCGGACTGGCGTAATCGCTGGTAGCTTAAATGAGCTGATTAGTAAGGTTTGTGTCTCTCTCTCTCTGTGTCTCTCTCTGTGTGTGTCTCTCTCTGTGTCTCTCTCTCTCTCTCTGTGTGTCTCTCTCTGTGTGTGTCTCTCTCTGTGTCTCTCTCTCTGGTTCTCTCTCGCGTCTCTCTCTCTGTGTCTCTCTCTCTCTCTGTGTGTGTCTCTCTCTGTGTGTGTCTCTCTCTGTGTCTCTCTCTCTGTGTCTCTCTCTGCGTCTCTCTCTCTGTGTCTCTCTCTGTGTCTCTCTCTGTGTCTCTCTCTGCGTCTCTCTCTCTGTGTCTCCCTCGCTCTGTGTGTGTCTCTCTCTCTCTCTCTCTCTCTCTCTGTGTCTCTCTCAGGTGTCCGACTCTCTCAATCTCTCTCTCAGTCTCTTTCTCTCTCACACTCTTCCTGTCACTCTCTCTCAGGTGTCTGACTCACTCTCAGTCTCTCTCTCTCTCTCTCTCAGTCTCTCTCTCTCTCTCTCTCTCTCTCACACTCTCTCTGTCTCTCTCTCTCTCTCGCTCTCTCTCTCAGGCGTCTGACTCGCTCTCAGTCTCTGCCCCGTTCTGTCTGGCTTTGGATGAAGACGGGACGATGGTCGACAGTGAAGAGTTTTTCTCTCACCTCGAAGACAACACAACATTTATAATACTGCAGAAAGGCCAGCGATGGACCTTTCCTCAGGTCAGAAACACACTAAATAATAATTAATAATCATCATAATAATAATTAATAAGCCTTGTATTTGACACAGTCGTCGTCGAGAATACTACTAATAAAATAATAATAATCTTCACAGCGATGGAGTTCTCCTCGGGTCAGACACACACAGGGTTTGCCAAACCTCTTACTAATTATTATTAAACCCGTTTACCGCACAATAATAAACATTTCTCATCACTGACTTGTTATAAAACGGGTTAATAATCAGGATCATTGCCTGGCGTTCGACCCGGCGCCTGACCGCGTCGTCGAGACGTCTCGGAGCGCTTCCCGGGACGCACCGTAAAGTGTAGTGACTTGTGTGTTGTGTGGGCCGAACGTGTGAATAATAATAATAATAATAATTGTTTGATGGTAGGAGGGGGCTGTCTCGCAAACCCTCGGCCGCAGATCGAATCGCAGCAAAGACATCGCGAGGATCACCTTCGACGTTTACAAGTTAAATCCCAAAGATTTGTTCGGTTCCCTCAACGTCAAAGCCACGTTCTACGGCATTTATTCGATGACGGTCGATATCAAGTGTCTGGGACCGAAGAAGGTGCTGAGGTGAGCGAGAGAGAGAGAGAGAGAGAGGAGAGAGTGGGGGAACGAGAGAAAGGGAGAGAGAGAGAGATACACACACACAGAGAGAGACTGAGAGAGAGAGTGGCGGAACGAGAGAAAGGGAGAGAGAGAGATATACACACACACACACACAGAGACTGAGAGAGAGAAACAGAGAGATGGAGGAGAGAGAGAGAGAGAGACTGAAAGAGAGGGAGACAGAGACACACACACACACAGAGAAAGAGAAAGACAGAGAGAGACAGAGCGAGTGAGAGATAGAGAGAGAAACGGAGTGTGAGACAGAGACAGAGACACACATACACAGAGAGAGAGATGGAGACACACACACACATACAGAGACACACACACAGTCACACAGACGCACACAGAGGGAGTCGGGTTGGGGGGGAGACAGTAAAGCTTCGTATTAATGACCTGTGTCTGTCTGTCTGTGTGTGACTGCGTGTGTGTGCGTGTGACTGTGTGTGTGTGTGTGACTGCGTGTGTGTGCGTGTGTGTGTGTGTGTATGTTTCAGGGAGATGCTGAGGGTGGTATCGGTTGTGATGCAGACCGTGGGATGTGTTTTGCTGTCGACGTCCACCATTATCAGGCGAATTGTGGAGGGGAACGAACTGAGACATCGCATGGAGGAGTGACCAGAACCTTCTCTCTCTCTCCCCACTACCCCATTCCCCTACTCTCTCTCTCTCCTCTAACCCCATTCCCCTACTCTCTCTCTCTCCTCTAACAACAACAACAACAACAAGATTCCATTTATAGAGCGCCTTTCACGTCAGGAGGACGTCCCAAGGCGCTGCACAGTTGGGTCATGACCCGAGCATTGGGGGGGAATGGTCAGGTGAGGGGAGGGAAGGGAGGGAGCGAGGAGGAGGGGAATGGTCAGGGTGAGGGGAGGGAAGGGAGGGAGCGAGGAGGGGGGAATGGTCAGGGTGAGGGGAGGGAAGGGAGGGAGCGAGGAGGGGGGAAATGGTCAGGGTGAGGGGAGGGAAGGGAGGGAGCGAGGAGGGGGGAAATGGTCAGGGTGAGGGGAGGGAAGGGAGGGAGCGAGGAGGAGGAAGAGAGTCGAGAGGGGAGCTGAAGGCACGGTCAAAGAGAAAGGTTTTGAGACCGGCCTTGAAGGAGGCCATTCCCCATTCCCCTACTCTCTCTCTCTCTTCTAACCCCATTCCCCTACTCTCTCTCTCTCCTCTAACCCCATTCCCCTACTCTCTCTCTCTCTTCTCTGACCCCATTCCCCTACTCTCTCTCTCTCCTCTAACCCCATTCCCCTACTCTCTCTCTCTCTTCTCTGACCCCATTCCCCTACTCTCTCTCTTTCTCTCCCCTCTAACCCCATTCCTCTGCTCTCTCTCTCTCTTCTCTAACCCCATTCCCCTGCTCTCTCTCTCCTCTAACCCCCCCCACTACTCTCTCTCTCTCCTCTAACCCCATTCCCCTGCTCTCTCTCTCTCTCTCTCTCCCCTCTAACCCCATTCCCCTACTCTCTCTCTCTCTTTGGTTCCTTCCTGCCATCACTGTATCAATAAAAAGTTAATCACTTTAGATGCGAGTCGTTGTGAAGCTCGGAGACGTGTGCGCGGAGCGAGCGAGAGGTGTGTGAGAGTGTGAGAGAGAGAGGGAGAGAGAGAGAGAGTGGAGAGAGAGAGAGAGAGCGACTGAGAGAGAGAGAGACTGAGAAAGAGAGTGTGTTTCCCTCGTTCTCCCGCTCTCTCTGCTCTTCCCCTCTCTCTCGCTGTCTCTCTCTCTCTCTCTCTCTCTCTCTCCATCTCTTTCGTTCTCTCTCTCTCTCTCTCTCTCTCCCTCTCTCACTCTCTGCGTTTCGCCCACAAAACACACAGTCACTACAACAACAAGAAGATTCCATTTATAAAGCGCCTTTCACGTCAGGAGGACGTCCCGAGGCGCTGCATAGTTGGGTCATGACCCGAGCATTGGGGGGGGAAATGGTCAGGGTGAGGGGAGGGAAGGGAGGGGGCGAGGAGGGGGGAATGGTCAGGGTGAGGGGAGGGAAGGGAGGGAGCGAGGAGGGGGGGAATGGTCAGGGTGAGGGAGGGAAGGGAGGGAGCGAGGAGGGGGGGAATGGTCAGGGGGAGGGGAGGGAAGGGGAGGGAGCGAGGAGGGGGAAATGGTCAGGGGGAGGGGAGGGAGGGAGCGAGGAGGGGGGAATGGTCAGGGTGAGGGGAGGGGAGGGAGGGGGCGAGGAGGGGGGAATGGGTCACTCAAAGGGTCAGTCGATCACTGGAGTTGGGGAAATCGCCCAAATCCTCAACAATATCACCAATAAGTTCACACCTTCACCCAAATAAACCCTCAGCAGTGCCCACGCCCACATCCGCGTACGTCATCGCCCGGGGGGCGATGCCCGGAGCAGCGCCACGCCCCCACCCGCGTACGTCATCGCCCGGGGGGCGGGGCCCGGAGCAGCGCCACGCCCCCACCCGCGTGCGTCATCGCCCGGGGGGCGGGGCCCGGAGCAGCGCCACGCCCGCACCCGCGTGCGTCATCGCCCGGGGAGGCGGGGCGGAGTAGCGCCACGCCCACGCCCCCTACGTCATCGGGGGTGGGTGGGATGAAGAGTGCGCCTGCGCGCGGCGGGAAAAAGAAGCTTCCAGAAGGGCGGAAGATGGCGTCGTGACGGGAGGGACCCGAGTGAGTGTTGTCTCTCTCTCTCTCTCCTCCTCCTCCTCCTCCGTCCCTCTATCTCTCTCTCTCTCTCTCTCTATCCCTCTCTCTCCCTCTATCCCTCTCTGTCTCTATCCCTCTCTCTCTCCCTATATCCCTCTCTCTCCCTCTATCCCTCTCTCTCTCTCTCTCTCTCCCTCCTCCTTCCCTCTATCCCCCTCTCTCTCCCTCTGTCCCTCTCTCTCTCTCTATCCCTCTCTCTCTCTCCCTCTATCCCTCTCTCTCCCTCTATCCTCTCTCTCCCTCTATCCCTCTCTCTCCCTCTATCCCTCTCTGTCTCTCTCCCTCTATCCCCCTCTCTCTCCCTCTATCCCTCTCTCCCTCTATCCCTCTCTCTCCCTCTATCCCTCTCTCTCCCTCTATCCCTCTCTCTCCCTCTATCCCTCTCTCTCTCTCCCTCTCTCTCCCTTCTCCTTCCCTCTATCCCCCTCTCTCTCCCTCTATCCCTCTCTCTCCCTCTATCCCTCTCTCTCCCTCTATCCCTCTCTCTCTCTCCCTCTCTCTCCCCTCTCCTTATCCCTCTCTCTCTCCCTCTATCCCTCTCTCTCTCCCCTCTCTCTATCCCTCTCTCCCTCTCTCTCTCCCTTCTCCTTCCCTCTATCCCCCTCTCTCTCCCTCTATCCCTCTCTCTCTCTCTCTATCCCTCTCTCTCTCCCTCCTCCTTCCCTCTATCCCTCTCTCTCTCCCTCTATCCCTCTCTCTCTCCCCTCTCTCTATCCCTCTCTCCCTCTCTCTCTCCCTCCTCCTTCCCTCTATCCCTCTCTCTCCCTTCCCTCTATCCCCCTCTCTCTCCCCCTCTCTCTCTATCCCTCTCTCTCCCTCTATCCCTCTCTCTCTCTCTCCCCCTCTCTCTCCCTCCTCCTTCCCTCTCTCCTTCTCTCTCCCTTCCCTCTATCCCTCTCTCTCTCTCCCTCAATCCCTCTCTCTCCCCCTCTCTCCCTCTCTCTCCCCTCTCTCTCTCTCTCTCCCTCCTCCTTCCCTCTCTCCCTCTCTCGGTCTCTCTCTGTCTCTCCCTCCCTCTCTCACACTCTCTCCCCCTCCCTCTCTGTCTCCCTTTTTCTCTCCCCCTCCCTTCCTCTCTCTCCCCTCGTCTCTCTCTCTCACCCTCTCTACCTCTCCCCCTCTCCCTCTCTCCCTCCCTCTCTGTGGCTCTGTTAAATGACTGTCTGTTTCTCCAGTAAATAACATATTCGAAATCTCTCTCTGTTTCACCCACAAAAACACAGTCACTACACGTTACAGTGTGTCCTGTGAAGCGCTTTGAGACATCTCGACGACGCGACCAGGCGCCGGGTCAAACGCCTGACGTCTTCGACTCGGTCTCTCTCTCTCTCTGTTGCTCTGTAAACATTCAGACACAAGGAATATCTTCGGCACAGTTTATTAATCTCAAAAAAAAAAATAATTACTGATTAAAATTAAGGTTATACATTCCAGATATCCCCAGAGAGAGAGAAAGAGACAGGGAGAGAGACAGGGAGCGAGAGAAAGAGAGATGGATGGAGAGAGAGAGAGAGAGAGAGAGAGACGGAGGGAGAAAGAGAGAGAGAGAGAGAGCGAGAGAGACGGAAAGAGAGGTTTATGAAGCCCAATTCTCAAGTTCTTTCAACTCATCATCATCATCTTCAACTTTGTGTCCTGAAACAGAGAGAAATTACGTTACTCACACATCTCTGTGTGTGTGTCTCTTTCAGTCTCTCACAGACACACACACACACACAGTCACTTGCTCGCTCGCACACATAGACAAACAGACACGCACACAAGAGACATAAAGGCACACAGGCAAACAAACAGACACGCACAGACCGACAGATGCATTCACAGACACACGTTCAGACACACGCGCACAGACCTGGGACTGTTGGCAAAGCTTCTGGAGATAAATCCTCTACGTTTTCTTCTCCGACGTTCAGTAAATCTCTCTCCAAATCTTCCTGTTCCATCTCCTCTAACTCTGCCATCAAATCGTCCTGAGAGAGAAAGAGAGTGCGAGAGTGAGTATGAGAGAGAGAGAGAGAGAGAGAGACAGAAACGCACACAGACACCGAGATAGAGTGTCAGGCAGACAGATAGAGAGAGAGCCATGAGCGCAGAGAAGGGATGAGAATCAAAGAGATAAAGTATGTGAGTCAGAGGGCACGTGGGAGAGAGTGTGAGAATGCGCGTGAGACCGATCGACAGAGGTTGTGTCTGAGAAAGTGCGCGAAAGACAGAGAGAGTGTGAGAGAGAGAGAGAGAGAGACAGAGAGAGAGAGAGAGAGACATTACCTCATCCACATCATCGCCAAATCCGACTGGCCGGGAGATTGCGTCCGAGATTTCCTGAGCTAGATCTTGTTGCTCCGTGATGTCAGACATTAACTCATCCACTTTGTCAATGTCCCTGAGAGACAGAGAGAGTAGAGTGTGTGAGTGACTGAGAGGGAGACCGAGAGCGACTGAGAGAGAGTGAAAGTGTGAGAGAGAGAGAGAGAGAGAGAGAGAAAGAAAGACAGATAATCCCTCCAGAATAATACTAATAACAATGATTCCGCCACTCAACCACGATTTATTTGTGGGGGGGTCACTGTGCGCCATTGGCTGCCGCGTTTCATCCACAAAACACGCAGTCACTACACTTAACAGTGTATCCCGCGAAGCGCTTTGAAATGTCCGTAAGACGTGATAATGCTCTGAATCGAATGCAAGGATTATCATTATTATTATTGTTATTGATGGATAGAGACTTGGGGGAGTCAGGAGATGGTTTGAGGTGGGAGAGAGAGAGAGAGAGAGACTTACATGTTCTGATGAGCTGATTTCATCGCCTTCGCTGCCTCGGACATAGTTTTTAAGACTTCTGTGTTCGTTGTTGCATTCTCCAAAGCTTCTCTCTGGAACTCCAGTGTGGACAGAGTGCCGTCGATCTGCGATAATTGCTGTTCATATCTCTTTTTTCTCTTGAGGGCTTGCAAGGCAGCTGGGGGAGCGGGGTGGGGTGGGGGGGGGGTGGAGAGAGGAGATTAGTCTGTGTTTCAGTCTCTCTCTCTGTCATAGTCATAGTATTATACGGCACAGAAGGAGGCCATTTGACCCATCGTGAGCTTTTCCAAATCAACCCCACTCCCCCCGCTCTCTCTCTCTCTCTCCCTCCCCCCCCCTCATAGCCCTGCAAACTTGCCCTCCCCAAACAATTGTCTCCTTCTCTCTTCAGCTTTGTTATCGAATCGGCTTTCGTTACCCTTTCGGGCGGTGCATCCCAATAACACGCCGTGTGAAAAATACTCCGTGAAGCACTTTGAGACGTCTCGGAAGGCGCCACAAGGCGCTGCGTGAAAGGCAAGTATTATTATTATTATTGGTCATTATTATCTTCTCTCCCTCTCTCTCCTCACTTTCTCTCTCTCTCTCCCGTTACCTCTCTTATTTTTCGTTCCGTGTTTTCGCGCTGTTGCGATTTCCTGCTGAACCTTCTGCTCCAGAAATTCCTGTTTTTTCACCAAAATTCCCTCCGTCTCTGCCAGCTTCTGAATAGCATCTTGTGGAGTTGGGGCTTTTGTACCCTTTCCTGAGGAGAGAGAGTGTGTGAGAGACAGAGAGAGAGAGACTGAGAGAGTTAGAAACTGATGCAGAGAGCAAGAGGGAGAGTGAGCGAATGTGTGCGAGAGAGTGACACACACACAGACAGGGAGTGAGAGAGTGTGATAAACAACAACAAGATTACATTTGTATAGCGCCTTTCACGTCGGGAGGACGTCCCAAGGCGCTGGACAGTGTAAAGAAGAAGAGAGGAGGAGACAGAGAGAGTGAGAGAAGGAAATAGAGAGATTATTGATGATTAATTGATCCCCCAATAAGTAGACATGAAAGGGAAGAGTTAAGGAGAAAGACTTTACCTTTAAAGTTGAACAGTTTGCCCAGATTCATGGTGTGGGCTGTCCCCTGGGGGTGGGCGGGGGGGGGGGGGGGGGAGAGCTCAGGCTGTTTTTCAGGGTTAAAAAAGTTTTTTGGCCCTAAAATCTGTTCGATTTCCTCCTCGAAGTGCGATTTAAAGACCTTCTTCCGGGTTTGACCACACCCTCTGCTTCCCATTGGCCCGTGCAGGACCCTCCCCTCTCTCTCCTTGGCCAGCCACCCAGGCCACAGGCTACGCCCCAACCCAGAAGAGACCTGATCAGAAATAATCAATCAATAATCCATCAATCCTGATCGATAGCACAATTTATACATTAACAATAATTAATTGTATTTGACCCAGGGCCTTGTCGGGTCGGTGAGACATCTCAAAAGCTCCTCAGAGGATATACCGTAAAGTGAAGTAACTGTTATGTGGGCGAAACCATTTCTTAAGCTTGTAATAATAATAACAATCCTTGCATTTGATATAGCACTTTTTCACGTCTTCTCGACGTCTCAAAGCGCTTCGCAGAATAGACCGTAAAGTGAATTGACTGTATATCTGTGGGCGAAACGCGGCGGCCGATTGCGCACAGCGACGTCCCACGAACAGCCGTGGGACTGAAGCGACCAATTATTGTTTTGTTTGTTGAGGGATTATTATCAGGCGTGTGGAGTGAGGAAATTTGGAAACTTGCCCGAGGTTTCGAAGCGAGAGGGAGACATGCACAGAAGAGACGAGTTGTAGAGAGAGCTTTATTATGTACATCGTTGTGTATAGCTTTGAGCGAGAGACGGAGCGAGAGTTTCTCCTCCTGTCCGAACGAGAGACGCAGCGAGAGACTAGAAGCGAAATAACCCAGAGAAGGTGTGACGGGATTTCTTGGGGGCGGTCGGGATCTGTTGTGAGCTTTCTTTGCTCACTGTGGGAATGATTCCCTTCCTCCCAATGTGATACAGATAGAGAGAGTGTAACTGCCTCAGGTCCACGCTGGGCGGCCCAAAGGAATAAATCCCCACCCAGGGGTGTTCGAACACGTCAGGGATAGAGCAGCGCTTGGGGGCCAGGCTGAGGATCTTCGTGATCAGGTCCTGAGGAGAGAGAGAGAGTGAGAGAGAGGGAGACACACAGAGACACGGAGAGAGTGAGAGAAACACAGAGAGAGAGTGGGAGAGAGAGAGAGAGAGACGGAGACACGGAGAGAGTGAGAGAAACACAGAGAGAGAGAGGGGGAGAGAGAGAGAGAGACGGAGACACGGAGAGAGTGAGAGAAACACAGAGAGAGAGGGGGAGAGAGAGAGGGAGACACACAGAGACACGGAGAGAGTGAGAGAAACAGAGAGAGAGAGGGGGAGAGAGAGAGAGAGAGACACAGAGACACGGAGAGAGTGAGAGAAACAGAGAGAGAGAGGGGGAGAGAGAGAGAGAGACGGAGACACGGAGAGAGAGAAACAGAGAGAGAGAGGGAGAGAGAGAGAGAGAGAGACACGGAGAGAGTGAGAGAAACAGAGAGAGAGAGGGGGAGAGAGGGAAGGACAGAGAGCGTAGTGTGAGAGGAAGAGAGACGAGAGAGAGAGTGTGATGATGTCACTGACGTCGCTGTGTGATGATGTCACCGATGTCACTGCGAGATGATGTCGCCGCGGGCGATGATGTCACTGCGAGACGATGTCGCCGCGGGTGATGACGTCACAGTGCGATGACGTCGCCGCGGGTGATGATGTCGCCGTGTGTGATGTCGCCGCGTGTGATGTCACAGTGTGATGATGTCGCCGCGGGTGATGTCACAGTGTGTGATGATGTCGCCGCGGGTGATGTCACAGTGTGATGATGTCGCCGTGTGTGATGTCACAGTGTGATGATGTCGCCGCGGGTGATGATGTCGCCGCGTGTGATGTCACAGTGTGTGATGATGTCGCCGCGGGTGATGTCACAGTGTGATGATGTCGCCGTGTGTGATGTCACAGTGTGATGATGTCGCCGTGTGTGATGTCGCCGTGTGTGATGTCACAGTGTGTGATGATGGCGCCGCGGGTGATGATGTCGCCGCGTGTGATGTCACAGTGTGTGATGATGTCGCTTTATGTGATGATGGAGAGAAGGAGAGAGAGAGAGAGAGAGAGAGAGACCCACCTTACACGCCAAGGAGATCCCGCGATGACGACTAGTGAAGATGGGGCCTTTGATCATTTGCCTGAGGAGGCGCCTGAGGTTGGAGTCGTCGAAGGGGAGTTTGCCGGTCACCATGGTGAAGAGGATGACCCCCATGCTCCAGATGTCAGACAGGAAGGGGTTATAGGGGGACCCCTGGAGGACCTCGGGGGGCACGTAGGCATAGCTACCGCAGAAGGTCTCGCTCAGAGGAACGCTGGCCATCCAGCCCGGCTCGGGGACCCCCATCTTGCAGAAGCCAAAGTCCGAGATCTTTATGTTATTGTTGCGATCCAAGAGCAGGTTCTCGAGTTTCAGGTCCCTGAGGGGTGGGGAGAGAGGGGGGAATGGGGTGCGGGGGGGGGGGGGGAGAGAGAGGGGGAGGCAAAAAAGAGGGGAGGGGGAATTGGAGAGGGGCAGGGAGTTTGGGGGAAAAGGAGGGGCGGACGGAGAGAGAAGGGAATTGGAGGGTACGAGGGAAAGGAGGAGAGGGGGAGGGAGAGAAATTAATTGTTTTTCACAAGTGATTGTGTAAGTGAGTGTGTCGGGTGTGAGTACGTATCTCTCTCTCTCTCTCTCTCTCTCTCTCTCACGGACTCCTCTCACTCACCTGTGCACCACACCTCTGCTATGAATGTAAGCCATCCCCTGACATAACTGCTCAAACCACTTGCCCGCCAGATTCTCCTCACAGGCTCCGTTCATTCGAATTCTCTCCATTACCTGTTTAAAAAAAAACGCGGGTGAGATCCTTAGCTTTACACATGGAGTCCTGTAGCTCAGGGGTTAGACCCCTCCCCTCACACCCCACAGCCCCTGTAGCTCAGGGGTTAGACCCCCCCCTCACACCCCACAGCCCCTGTAGCTCAGGGGTTAGACCCCCCCCCTCCGCACCCCACAGCCCCTGTAGCTCAGGGGTTAGACCCCTCCCCTCGCAAGCCAGAGGACCCGGGTTCGATTCCCGGGAGGGACAGGACAGGGCTAAACCTTAGGCAGGTTTCGTTACTCCCCACCCGCGCGCACACACTCTCACACACGCACGCCTCTTTTACCAGCAGTAACTGGGAACCCGCTTGTTAGTCGCTGGTTGGATCGCTTTCCGGGCACAATAATCTCTCCAAATCTCTCTGGCAAAGAGCCGGCACAGACTCGATGGGCCGAATAGCCTCCTTCTGTGCCGTAACCTATGAATCTATGAACCTCGGTGTCAGGGGCTGGATTGAGATGTGAGAGGGAGTTGGAGAGAGACTCGGGGGGGGGGGGGGGGGGAGTCAGAGGATGGAGTGAGGTGGTATAAATGGGCCGAATGGCCTCCTTCTGTGCTGTAAAAGATTCACTGGCTCACCTCCCCGCCCGGAGCCAATTCTAAAATGATGTACACCCTGTTTGTCGTCTCGATGGACTGATAAAAGCTGATCAGGTTGGTGTGTTGCAGAGTTTTCCAGATCTGGATCTCTCTGGGTAAGAATTTGTTCAGAAATTCAGTCTCAGCTTTCTCCTTGAGGAGGACCTGTAAATTTGATCGAAAACAGGGATTGTGTGAATTATCGATGGTCCTGTTATCACCTACAATTCAAAGGTTAATGCTTCAACCCACGCGATTATTATACCGTTAGCTGTAGCTCAGGGGTTAGACCAGAAGACCGGGTTCGATTCCCGGGTGGGACAGGACAGGTCGAAACCTGAGGCAAGTTTCCTTACTGCACAGTCACACACACATGCACAGACGCACACGCCTCTGTTTTACAGCCGTCAGTCGATTGGGGGAATCACTTTCCGGGGGTAATAATTTCTTCAAATAATAATAATTCGGTCACTCAACCCACGAGTGTTTGTGGGGACAGTCGCCGGGCGCGATCGGCTGCCACGTTTCACCCACAAAACAGAGAGGGAGAGAGAGAGAGAGAGACACCTTAACAGCCACTTTGGTTTTCCATTTCTTGAAGTAAGCCTCCCACACAATCGCGTACGCTCCCTTGCCCAGGTATCGCCCGAGCTGGTAGCCATGTTTTTCCAGGATGGTCGACACCACTTTGGCTTGTGTGCTGGCCATCGCCGGTCAACCTCTGGGGACAAGGAACAAGAGGAGAGAAGGGGTGAGAGAGAGAGACAGAGGAAGACGAGAGAGAGAGACGGAGAGATGGAGATAGAGAGACGGAGAGAGAGAGAGAGGGGGAGAGAAAGAAATAAATGGCGCCTTATCGCATCGTCGAGACAGACAGAGACCCAAAAAGAGAGACAGATAATAATAATCCTTGCGTTTGACCCGACGCCTTGTCACGTCGTCGAGAAGTCTCAAAGCGCTTCACTGGACACACTGTAAAGTGTAGTGACTGTGTGTTTTGTGGGGCAAAGGAGGTTGGAGAGAGTTGGTTGGAGGGTTTGGAAGAGAATGTTTGTCAGAGATTCGGAGAAGGTTTGTTTGAGAAGTTTGAGGCTGGGGAAGAGGTGGAGGATTGGGGGAATTGGATGAGGTTGGGAGAAGACTGCTCGATAAACAGAGGCGTGTGGGGGGAGAGAGAGCAGGGGAGTGGGATTCATTTGGCGAGGGAGTGACGAGAGAGAGAGAGAGAGAGAGTGAGTGAGGACAAGAAATAATTACTTACAACACGTCGCCCATTTTTTCGTTTACCTGCTTTCACATCTCCAATGGAGGCTCTCTCTTTGTGCGTTTGAGTGTGTGTCTGTCACACTCACTTGTTCGCCGAGCCACCCCGAACTCCGTCGCGAAGGGAGGAAGGTGAAAGAGCAGACGGGGGAGGGAGAGAGTGAGAAACAAAAGTTTTCACGATGGCGGCTTGTAGCTTACATTGGGGATCGGGGGGGTGGGTTGGGGGGTTTGCGTAGGTTCTATCTTGATTGCAAAGTTCCTCCTAAACAATGTCGCGAAGAAAGGAAGGTGAAAGAGCAGATGGGGAGGGAGAGAGGGGGAAACAAAACTATCCCAGGGAAAAAAAGTTTTCAAAATGGCCGACAGTGTCAACAGGAAATGGCAGCTTGTAGTTAAGATGGGGTGGGGGGGGGCTGGGGGGAGTTACGTGGGTTGTACCTTGATTGCAAAGTTGCTCCGAACTACGTCGCAAAGAGAGGAAGGTGAAAGAGCGGACGGGGGGAGAGAGAGAGAGAGAGAGAGAGAGAGGGAGAAAACTGTCTCAGAAAAGAAAGGTTTTCAAAATGGCCGACAGCAACAACGGGAAATGGCGGCTCGTGGCCAGGAGGAGGGGGTGGAAGTCGCGTCTTGTCGTCTCATGTGTCTTCGAGGAGAGTTAGGGACTGATTTGCGATGGGGCCGACACACGCCCAACCCCCACCCCCAGGCCTCAACCCCTCCCCCCCCACCCCCACCCGCCTGCCCCATCGATGGCCTAAATTTGCTCTCATTTTATTGTGACGTCACAGAGATTTGTGGGTTACAGGGCAGTGGGTCATCCTGCGAGTGAGGGAGGGAGGGAGGGAGGGAGGAGGAGAGGGAGGTGCGAAGAGCCTCCCTCTCTCCCTCTCTTTTCTTTGCCTCTCTCCTCTTTCTCTCATTCACGCGCTCTCTCCTTCCTTCTCTTTCACTCTCTCTCGTTTGCTCCCTCTCTCTCTCTTTCCTTCACTCGCTGTCCTCTCTCTCTCTCTCTCTCTCTCATATCCACACTCTCTCTCTCCACCCTTTGCTCTCTCGTCCCCTCTCTCCTTTGCTCTCACTCTCTCCCAGGCTCCATCCTTCTCTCATTCACTCTCTAGTTCCTTCTCTCGTTCACCCTCTCCCTTCCTCCTCTGCTCTCCCTCTCCTCCACTCACTTATTCCCCGTTTCTCCCTCTCCATCTATCCTTCGCTCTCCCTCTATCCCTCATTCTCCCTCTCCCGCCTGTGTCCCCGGCAGTGAGTAGGAACCCGCTTGTCAGTCGATTGGGGGATCACTTTCCGGGGGTAATAATCCCTTCAAAACAATAATAATAATAATAATAATTTGGTCACTCAACTCAGGACTGTTTGTGGGGCCGTCGCTGGATGCAATCGGCTGCCGGGTTTGGCCCCTGAAACACACAGTCACTACACTTGACAGCGTGCCCCGTGTACTGCTTTGGGCCGTCTCAACTCAGCGATTAAAACCAATCGCCGTTGTTCAAAACGCTGACGTTAATTATTAGATGAAGTACGTCATTGATCATCATTTCGCGGTTCGGATGATTAGTGTTTGATTTATCAAATTAATTGTTAAATTAAATCCTTATTAAATCTGTACTATTTTTATTGAATTTATTATTTTTATTCCTTTCCATAACATCAGTTGATGTGGGTTATTTTTTTTAAACCGTTTTTCTTTGATTGCTTCTTTACTGTCTTCTTTATTGTATGTGTTATTGTTCTTTATTATTATTATTATTATTATCATTGATTCTCACACTGTGTCTGTCTGTCTGAGGGGCTAATGGGCCGCAGTGGCCACTAGTCTCCGGGTGGCGCTGTGCTCCTTACGGAGCTGGAGGTCCTCTCGTCCCTCGTGCCCTCTTGCCCCTTCCGGCCACTTGCTCCTCGTCAGGTCGGGAGGACTCCTCCTCGATGGGCGGCTCTTGCTCGGCCCGTCGACCCTCGTCGGCGTCGTCATGGCCGCCCGTCGAAGGCGCCGGAAGGCCCGGAGCGCCGCTTAAATCGGCGTCCGCGGCTCCCCTCGGCCGCCTCTCCTTCCCCCCGCCGCCCCCGAGTGAGCGTCGGCGTGCGCGCAGCGCCTCCCCGCGCCCCCACCCCCCCGGGTCGTTTCCGCGGCTTCTTAACGGCTCGGGGCGGGAAAGGTGGGGAAAGGCCTCGGGAGCCCAAAATGGCGCCCTCCCCGAAAAGTAGCCCAATTGGGCGGGGGAGTAGCCCGAGCGGGTTGGGGAGTAGCCCCAAAGTAGCCCCCAAACGCGCTCTCTCTCTCTCTCTCTCTCTCGACCACGAGTTTTTTTTAGTTATATATTATATTATATTACATATATTTTAAAAAAAGGATTTTAAATTGTGGTTTCAATTCGGTTTCTTTCGAACCCCTCCAAAAAAAAAGGTCTTTAGAGAGAGAGAGAGAGAGAGGGGGAGAGAGGGAGGGAGGGAGGGAGATAAGGAGTGAGAGAGAGAGATAAGGAGTGAGAGAGAGAGGGAGATGGAGGGAGGAGTGAGAGAGAGAGGGAGAGGGAGATAAGGAGTGAGAGAGAGAGATGGAGGGAGGGAGGAGTGAGAGAGAGAAGGAGATGGAGGGAGGGAGGAGTGAGCGAGAGAGGGAGATAAGGAGTGAGAGAGAGAGATGGAGGGAGGGAGGGAGGAGTGAGAGAGATAAGGAGTGAGAGACAGAGATAAGGAGTGAGAGAGAGAAGGAGATGGAGGGAGGGAGGAGTGAGAGAGAGGGAGATAAGGAGTGAGAGAGAGAGGGAGATGGAGGGAGGGAGTGAGAGAGAGAAGGAGTGAGAGAGAGAAGGAGTGAGGGAGGGAGGGAGGTGTCTGGGGGGGGGGGGGGGGGGGGGGCGTCTCTGTCTCTCACTCACTCTCTGTCTCTCTCTGTCACTCATTTCTCTCACTCTATTGCTTTCTCTGACGCGCTCTCTGTCTCCGTCACTGTTCTCACACACTCCCTCCATCTCTCTCTCTGTCTCTCACTCACTCTCTCTGTCACTCATTTTCTCTCACTATTGCTTTCTCCGACACTCTTCTCTATCTCTGTCACTGTTCTCACACACTCCCTCCATCTCTCTCTGTCTCTCACTCACTGTCACTCTCTGTCTGTCTCTCTCTCTCTCTCTCTCACTCATTTTCTCTCCTCTCACTCTATTGCTTTCTCTGACACACTCTCTATCTCTGTCACAGTTCTCACACACTCTCTCCATCTCTCTCTCTCTGTCTCTCAGTCACTCTCTGTCTCTCTCTGTCACTCTCTCTGTCACTCATTTTCTCTCTCTCTCTCTCTCTCTCTATTGCTTTCCCTATCACTCTCTCTATCTCTGTCACCGGTCTCACACTCTCTCCATCTCTCTCTCTCTCTCTCTCTCCGCAGTGCTGACTGAAGAGGAGAGGCTGGAGCCTGGAATCTTGCCCCTGTGTCTGACGGCCCGAGCTGTGGGCTCTGTGCTGGGAGTGGGAGAGAGGGAGAGGGAGAGGGAGGGGGAGAGAGAAAGGGAGAAGGGCTCGAGGATAGATTACTTGCGAGTGATTGAGTTTGTGGAGAAGGTGACAGAGGGTATCCCAGACCTTCTCTTCCCTCAACACCGAGCGCGGCTTCTAGTGGGCATCAAAGTCAAGGTAATGTCCTCTGTCTCTCTCTTTCTCTCCATCTTTCTGTCTCTCTCTCTCTCTCTGCCTTACGCTCTCTCTCTCACACATTCACTATCCCTCTAACTCACTCTTGTATAGTGTGTGTGTGTGAGTCTCTCTCTCTCACACTTTGTCTCTCTTCCTCTCACGCTCACTCTATCCCTCTGTCTCCTCTTCACTCTCTGTCTCTCGCGCTCATTCTATCCTTCACGGTCTCTCTCTCTCTCTCTCTCTCTCCCACACACTCTCTCAGCCTCTGTGTGAGTCTGTCACTCTCTCGCATTCTCACTCTCTGTCGCTCACTGTCTCTCTCTCTCTCTCTCTCTCTCTCTCTCACTCACACTCTCTCTGTCTCTCACTCTGACGTTCTCTCACACTCTGTCTCACAGTCTCTCTCTTGCGCTCTCACACGTTCTCTGTCCCTCTCTGTCTCACACTCACTTTCTCTATTCCTCTCTCACACACTCTCTTTCTCCACAGTTAATCCTTGACTTGTTAGTTGAAGGAAGGTCGATGACAACAATCATCTCCCAACTTGATCGTCACTTTCCTCCCAACCTGGTGAGCACAGGAGACCCTGTAGCTCAGGGGTCAGACCCCTCCCCTCACACCCTACAGCCCCTGTAGCTCAGGGGTTAGACCCCTCCCCTCACACCCCACAGCCCCTGTAGCTCAGGGGTTAGACCCTGACCTCACACCCCACAGCCCCTGTAGCTCAGGGGTCAGACCCCTCCCCTCACAAGCCAGAGGACCCGGGTTCAATTCCCTTAGGCAAGTTTCCTTACTCCACACGCTGTTGACTGTGGGGCCGTCGCTGGGCGCAATTGGTTCTCACGCAAAACACATAGTCACTACGCTTTACCGTGTGTCCTGTGAAGCGCTCCGAGACGTCTCGACGACGCGATGAGGCGCCGGGTCAAATGTAAGGATTATTATAATTATTCTAATCTCGCTGTCTCTCTCTCTCTCTCTCTCTCGCTCAGGATGAACAGTTTGTGGATAAGGTTAATCTTTGTTTCCGTCAACTTATTCTCCGCCTCTTGAAAGATCAGCAGTTCAGGAAACACTTCTTACAGGTAATGTCACTCTCTCTTCCCTCACACACACTCTCTTTCTCTCTCTCACTCTCTCACTCACTCACTCACTCTCAGCTTGTCCCTCCCTCGCGTACTCTCTCACTCCCCTCTCCGTCACTCAGTCAGTCTCGCTCTCTCTCTCTCACTCACTCAGACTCTCACTCGCTCACACATTCACACACTCACGTACTCTTGCTCACTCTCTACCTCGCACCCTCACTTGACTCACACACATACTCTCTCTCTCGCACTCTCATTCACTCACTCATGCACACGGTCTCTCTGACACACAGTCTCTCTCACACACACACACAGTCTCTCACCCGCACACAGTCTCGCGCGCGCACGCACACGGACACAGGGAATGATCAGTGTGTTGTCTGTGTGTGTTACAGAAGCAGATACATGAGGAATATGGAGCAGAATTCCTGACAGCGTTACGCAAACTGTACTGGGAATTTTTGCACCGACTGAAACAGGCCGTGTCTGACTCACAGTTACAGCAGGTACGTGGGTCTGTGTGTGTGTGTGTGTGTGTCTCTCCCTCTCTTTGTGTCTCACTATGTGTGTCTGTCTTTCAGTATCTCTCGCACTCTCTCAGTCTCTCTCACTCTCAGTCTCTCTCTGTCTCTTTCACACTCTCTGTCTCTGTCTCTCGCACTTTCTCAGTCTCTCTCACACTCTCTCTCTCTCTCACACTCGCTGTCTCTCTCACACTCTCTGCCTCTCGCACACTCTCTCAGTCTCTCTCTGTCTCTCACACTTTCTCAGTCTCTCTCTCTCACTCTCTCTGTCTCTCTCTCTCACTCTCTGTCTCTCTCACACTCTCTCTCTCAATCAGTCTCTCTCACGCTCTCTCACACTCTCTCTCTCTCTCTCTGTCTCTCTCACACTCTCTCAGTCTCTCTCACGCTCACTCAGTCTCTCTCACACTCTCTCAGTCTCTCACACTCTCTCTCTCGATCTCCCCCCAGTTTCTGGTAGCTGCTCAGACAAGAACACAGAACAGTGACTTGTCAGACCAAAATCTTTTACAACAGTATCTGAGATTGTTGAAGTCTGACAGTGAACAGCAAGAGGGTGAGTGTGTGTTTCTCCGTCTCTCAGTCTTACTCTCTCTATGTGTCTCTTTCTCTCTCACTGCATCTCTCTTCGTCAATTCGTCTTTCTCTCAGTCTCTCTCTCTCTGTCTCTCTCTTTCAGTCCCTCTCTCAGTCTCTCCCTCCCTCTCTCATGTTCTCTCCCTCTCTCCCAGATCTCCCGCCGTATTCCCCCCCCCGCTTGCGGAGTCTGGTTCCCGTACTACACAGACAGCCGCCTTCGTCCTCGAGGGACGCCTTCCGGAAAGTGGCGCGGAGGCCGGGACTCCGGCCTCGCTCCCCCCGACAGCGTGTGGGCGATCAGTCTCCCAGCGACCCCAACAGAGAGACGGAGAGACCAGGAGGCAGCAGGGAAAGAGGTCTGTGTGTGTGTGTGTGTGTGTATCTCTCTGTGTATGTGTGTCTCTCTCTCTCTGTGTCTCTCGCTCACACTCCCTCTGTTTATGTGTGTGTGTCTCTGGGTGTGTCTCTCTCATTCTCTCTTATTCCCTGTCTCTCATTCTCTCTCACACTCACTCTCTCTCTCTCTCTCTCAGGCAGTCCTGAATTAGTCTCAGACTCTGAAGATGAGCGTGAGAGGCCCACCGTGAGCACCAACGACAGACCAGTGAGTCGCACAGGATGCTAATTACAATAATAATTGTAAACCTTGCATTTGAAACAGATTCAGTGAGTGCGTGAGAGAGGCCGAGAGTGAGAGAGAGACCGAGAGAGAGCGAGAAAGACTGAGGGAGAGGGAGAGAGAGAGAGAGAGAGAGAGAGTGAGAGAGACTGAGAGAGAGTGAGAGAGAAAAATAATAATCTTTGCAGTTGATAATTGTTGCAAAGGTTTCGTCCTGTCCTGTCTCGCCCGGGAATCGAACCCAGGTTCTCTCGCTTGCAGACGACGCGCTCTCTCTCTCTCTCTCTCTCTGTCTCTCTCACTCTGTCTCACACTCTCTCTCTCTCTCTGTGTGTGTCTCTCTAGGGAACGAGTGATCTCTATCTCAAGACAAAATACAACACATATATTCCGACACTGAAACAATACAGAACCTCTTCGAGAAGGAAATCTTGTGTCTGGTAAGAGAGTCAAATCATAGGTGTGTGTGTGTATGTGTGTGTGTGTCTCTGTGTGCGTGTGTGTGTCTCTCTTTCTATCTGTCTGCGTCCGCGCTCTCGCCCGCAAAACACACAGTCACTACACTTCACAGCGTGTCCCGTGAAGCGCTTTGAGACGTCTCACCGACGTGATGATAAGGCTCCGGGTCAAACCCCGGGGATTGTTACTGTTATTATTAATTCTCTGTCTCTCTCTCTCTCTCTCTCTCCCTCTGTCTCTCAGAGTTGGTGGAAATCCTTCACAAGGGGGAGTGGAGTCTTGAGTTAAGATTTTATTCTTTTTGTTTGTTTCGTAAATAATGTTAAATTTCGACCCAATAAATCTGCTGAACTTGACGTCGTGCACCTCCCCGCCCGGGCCCGACCGGCTGCCGGGTTTGGCCCCCGAAACACTTGCCGGCGTGTCCCGCGGAGCGCTTTGAGACGTCTCGAGGACGCGGTCGGGCGCCGGGTCACACCCCGGGGGATCGTTGTTGTTATATTCCTCCCCCCCGCATCGTATACGTGCTGGTGATCGCTCTCTCTCTCTCTCTCTCCCCCCATTAACCCCATTTCCTTGCGCTCTATCTCTCTCTCTCTCACACACTCTCTGTCTGTCTTACTTTCTCACACACTCTGTCTGTCTCTCTCTGTCTCTCACTATCTGTCTGTCTCTCTCTCTCTGTCTCTCACACACTCTCTCCCTGTCTCTCTCTCACTATCTGTTTCTCTCTCACTGTCTGTCTCTCTCTCACTGTCTGTCTCTCTCTCTCTCACTCTCTCTGTCTCTCTCTCACTATCTCTCTCTCTCTGTCTCGCTCACACTCTTATCACTCTGTCCTCTAACCCCATTCCCCTGCTTTCTCTCTCTCTCTCTCTCTCCTTCCTTTCCCCCCCCCCATCGTGTCCGTGCCTTTGCTCCGTTAAACAGACAACACACATACACATTTTGGGACTGATCTTAAAGTGCCAGTTTTATACTTAAGAAGCTGGAATGCTTGAAATAAATCGGAATTAAGAGATTATATGGAAGCGGCAAAGCTTCGAGAGACACCTGTCTGGGGTCGGGGGTGCGGGGCGGGAAGTGAGTGTGCGAGAGAGTGAGTGAGTGTATGAGGGCGCGTGTGAATGTGTAGGTGAGTGAGTACACGTGAGTGGTGAGTGGGTGTGAGACATCTCTCTGGGGGGTAAGTGAGTGAAAGGCACTGTAAATTCCCTCTCACTCTGTCTGTCTCTCTCTCTCTCACTGTGTCTCTCTCACTCGCGTGTGCGTGGGTCTGTCTCTCATTCTGTGTGTGTCCCTCTCTCTCGCTCTGTCCGCGTGTCCCTCTTGTCTGTCTCTCTCTCACTGTGTGTGTCTCACTCTTTCTGCGTCTCTCTCTCACTCTTTCTCTGTGTCTCCCTCTCATTCTGTGTGTGTCTCGCTGTCTCTCTCTCACTCTCTCCCTCTCTCACTCTGTGTCTCACCGTGTGGGTGTGGGTGTCTCTCTCACTCCGTTGGTGTGTCTCTCTCTCACTCTGTGCGTCTCTCTCTATCTGTCTCTCTCTCTCTGTGTGCGCGAGACCGTGTGTGTGTCTCTTTCTCTCTCCCAAGGCAGTGTGTGTGAGTGCGTCAGAGTGTGTGGGACTTTGTGTGTGTGTGTGTGTGTGTAAGATGTTTCGGGGCGGAAGGGGGGGTGAGCGAAAGGCTCTGTAAGCCGGGCAGCGAGAGACACAGAAAGAGAGAGAGAGCGAGAGAGGGAGAGAAGGAGCGAGAGGGGGACAGGGTTCAGGTGAAGACAGTGTTGAGCTGCTGACTGACACGAATGAAGGTTGTTCTGCGACTGAGTTCCTTGAGCTTTGCGGCCCCCACATAGGTACAGGTGGACCTGACGCCCCCCAGAATATCACGCACCGTCCCCTCCAGGTCCCCTTTGTACTCCACCTCCACCGTCTTCCCCTCCGAGGCCCTGCGAGAGAGAGAGAGGGAGTGTGAGAGAGAGGGGGGAGACAAGAAAGCAAGGGAGACAGAGCGAGAGAGAGGGAGTGAGGGAGACACAGATAGAGAGAGAGACAAACACAGAGACACAGACGACTTTCTCTCACACACTCCCTCTCTCACACACTCTCTCCCTCTCTCACACTCTCTCTCACGCACTTCCTCTCTCTTACACACTCTCACATTCCCTCTCTCACACACACCCTTCACACAGCCCCTCTCTCTTACACACTCACTCTCTCACACACACCCTTCACACTCCCTCTCACACACTCTCTCACACACTCCCTCTCTCTCTCACACTCTCTCACACACTCCCTCTCTCTCACACACTCCCTCTCTCTCACCTGTAGTCAGACACCCCTCCTGTGTGTTTCCTCATCGCTGTCTCTGAGCTCATCCCGTAAAACAGTTTAAATTTCTTCCCATTTTTCTCGATGATTTCACCCCCGCACTGAGTGTGTCCAGCCAGCATTCCCCCCAGCATCACAAAGTCAGCCCCCGCCCCTATACACAGGGAGAGAGGGAGTGTGAGCGCGGGAGAGAGAGAGAAAAACAGCCCCCGCCCCTACACACAGGGAGAGAGGGAGTGTGAGAGAGCGCGGGAGAGAGAGAGACAGAGAAAAACAGCCCCCGCTCCTACACACAGGGAGAGAGGGAGTGTGAGAGAGCGAGAGAGAGAAAAACAGCCCCCGCTCCCACACACAGGGAGAGAGGGAGTGTGAGAGAGCGCGGGAGAGAGAGAGAGAGAAAAACAGCCCCCGCTCCCACACACAGGGAGAGAGGGAGTGTGAGAGAGCGCGGGAGAGAGAGAGAGAGAAAAACAGCCCCCGCTCCCACACACAGGGAGAGAGGGAGTGTGAGAGAGCGCGGGAGAGAGAGAGAGAAAAACACCCCGCTCCTACACACAGGGAGAGAGGGAGTGTGAGAGAGCGCGGAGAGAGAGAGGGAGAGAAAAACAGCCCCGCTCCACACACAGGAGAGAGGGAGTGTGAGAGAGCGCGGAGAGAGAGAGGAGAGAGAAAAACAGCCCCCGCTCCTACACACAGGGAGAGAGGGAGTGTGAGAGAGCGCGGGAGAGAGAGAGGGAGAGAGAAAAACAGCCCCCGCTCCCACACACAGGGAGAGAGGGAGTGTGAGAGAGCGCGGGAGAGAGAGAGGAGAGAGAAAAACAGCCCCCGCTCCCACACACAGGGAGAGAGGGAGTGTGAGAGAGCGCGGGAGAGAGAGAGAGAGAAAAACAGCCCCCGCACGTGAGAGGTGCTGTAAGTGGCGAAGCGTTGTGAGACGTCCGTGTACGTGCGTGTTAAGAGTGTGTGAGGCGTCTGTGTGTGTGTGTGTGTGTGTGTGTGAGACACCTCTGTGTGTGTGTGTGAAACGTCTCCATGGTGTGTGAGTGATGTCTGTGTGTGTGAGTACGTGTGAGACGTCTCTCTCTATGTGTGACGTCTGTGTGTGTGTGACAAGAGCCTGTGTGTGTGTGTGTGTGAGTGACGGAGCCTGTGTGTGTGTGTGTGTGTGAGTGACGGAGCCTGTGTGTGTGTGTGTGAGTGACGGAGCCTGTGTGTGTGTGTGTGATGGAGTCTGTGTGTGTGTGTGTGACAGAGCCTGTGTGTGTGTGTCTGTCTGTGTGTGCCTGTGTGTGTGAGTGACAGAGCCTGTGTGTATGTGATGGAGTCTGTGTGTGTCTGTGTCTGTGTGTGTGAGTGACAGAGCCTGTGTGTGTGTGATGGAGTCTGTGTGTGTGTGTGACAGAGCCTGTGTGTATGTGATGGAGTCTGTGTGTGTCTGTGTGTGTGTGTGTAAGTGACAGAGCCTGTGTGTGTGTGATGGAGTCTGTGTGTGTCTGTGTGTGTGTGTGTGTGTGACAGAGCCTGTGTGTGTGTGATGGAGTCTGTGTGTGTCTGTGTGTGTGTGTGAGTGACAGAGCCTGTGTGTGTGTGATGGAGTCTGTGTGTGTGATGGAGTCTGTGTGTGTCTGTATGTGTCTGTGTGTGCGCTGCGACACAAACATATCGTCACATCAGATAATATTATAATGACATTATTACAAACATAATTAATAACAACAATAACTACAACCCCCCCCCCGGGGGGTGCGACCCGGCGCCCGATCCCGTCCTCGAGACGTCTCAAAGCGCTTCGCGGGCCACGCCGTCGAGTGTAGTGACTGTGTGTGTGTGTGTTTCGGGCGACGTCCCCACAAACAGCCGCGGAGTCGAAGCCACCGAATCATTATTACTATTGTCATTATTATTGCTATTATTGTTGTTTTTGGCCCCAAAAAAAGATCTCACCTTTACTTTGATCAACATTTTGTCCTTTTTTTTTCCTTCTGGTTTTTTTTTCTGACCCTCTCTCTCTCTCTCTCTCTCCTTTTTCTCCTCTTCTTTCTCTCTCTCTCTCTCTCTCTCACCTCTATCCCTTTCTCTTCTCTCCCTCTTTCTCTGTCCTTTTCTCTCTCTCTCTTTTCTCTCTCTCTCCTTCTACCTCTCTCTCTCCTTCTCTCTCTGTCTCTCTCCTTCTATCCCTCTCTCAGCTTCTCCTTCTATCCTTTTTTTCTCTCTCTCTCTCTCTCCTTCTCTCTCTCCAAAAAAAATCTCTCCTTTCCCCGCACTTCGCCACCAAAGCTTTCCACTTCCGGGTCGCTGCCCCCCCTGGCCGGAAGTGCCTGCCGCAGCGCCTTCTGGGGGGAAAATGATGCGCTCACCCACGTGACGCTCCCAGCCGTGTGACCCACGTGACGCGCTCAGCCCGAGGGGGGGGACCCACGTGACTCCCCTCCGCTACGGGCGTCACGTGGCTCGGCCCCTCGCCAACCGCCGCCCAGGGATCCGCCCACGTGACTCCCCCGCCCCCACCACCCAGGGGACCCGCCCAACCACGTGACGCAGCGGGGGGAAGCCACGTGACCAGGGTGGGGCGGGGCTAGAGCGGGGTAGGGGGCGGGGCTGACACGTCACCGAGAGAGAATCAAAGCGCTTCACAGGATACACTGTGCAGTGTAGTGACTGTGTGCTCCGCCCTGGGCTGTCCGGCTTCAGGAAGAGAGAGAGAGAACGAGACAGAGAGAGAGAGAGAGAGAGAAAACGAGACAGAGAGAGGGAGAGAAAGAGCGAGACAGAGAGAGAGAGAACGAGACAGAGAGAGAGAGAGCGAGACAGAGAGAGAGAACGAGACAGAGAGAGAGAGAACGAGACAGAGAGAGAGAAAACGAGACAGAGAGAGGGAGAGAGAGAACGAGACAGAGAGAGGGAGAGAGAGAACGAGACAGAGAGGGAGAGAGAGAACGAGACAGAGAGAGGGAGAGAGAGAGAACGAGACAGAGAGAGGGAGAGAGATAGAACGAGACAGAGAGAGGGAGAGAGAGAACGAGACAGAGAGAGAGAGAGAACGAGACAGAGAGAGAGAAACGAGACAGAGAGAGGGAGAGAGAGAACGAGACAGAGAGAGGGAGAGAGAGAAAGAGACAGAGAGAGAGAGAGAGAGAGAACGAGACAGAGGGAGAGAGAGAACGAGACAGAGAGAGGGAGAGAGAGAGAACGAGACAGAGAGAGAGAGAGATAGAACGAGACAGAGAGAGGGAGAGAGAGAACGAGACTGCGAGAACAAGACAGAGAGAGAGAGAAGAGACAGAGAGAGTGAACGAGAGAAAGTGGGAGGGGGAGAGAGAGAGAGAGAGCGTGAAAGAGAGACTGAGGAAGGAATTTGCGAGTCACGCTATTGACAGAGAGAGAGAGAGAGAGAAAGAGAGGAATCCCGTGGCCTCTGTGTCGGTGAAAGGGTTAAGTCCGTCCCCTCGCGATGCCTCGAATCGACAATGACATCAAACTGGATTTCAAGGATGTTCTGCTCCGACCGAAGAGAAGCACATTGAAAAGCAGGAGCGAGGTACAGAACGAGAGAGAGAGAGAGAGAGAGGGAGAGAGAGAGAGACTGACAGAGAGAGAGAGAGACGGGAGAGAAACTGAGAGAGAGAGAGGGAGTGAGAGACTGACAGAGAGAGAGAGAGAGAGACGGGAGAGAGAGAGAGGGAGTGAGAGACAGAGAGAGAGAGAGAGGAGAGAGAGGGAGTGAGAGACTGACAGAGAGAGAGAGAGACGGGAGAGAGGGAGAGGGAGTGAGAGACACAGAGAGAGAGAGAGGGAGTGAGAGACAGAGAGAGAGAGACTGAGAGAGAGAGAGATGGAGAGAGAGAGAGAGAGGAGAGACTAAGATAGAGAGAGAGACGGAGAGAGAGAGACTAAGAAAGACGGAGAGAGAGAGAGAGAGAGAGACGGAAAGGGAGAGACTGAGATAGAGATGGAGAGAAAGAGACAGGGAACAAGAGAGAGAGACAGAGAGAGAAACTGTCTCTCTCTCCCTGTCTCTCTCCATCTCTCCCCGTCTCTCTCTCTCTCTCCATCTCACCCCGTCTCTCTCTCTCTCACACTCTCTCTCTCTCTCTCCATCTCTCCCCGTCTCTCTCTCTCTCTCTCACACTCACTCTCCGTCTCTCTCACACTCTCTCTGTCTCTCCATCTCTCCCCGTCTCTCTGTCTCTCTCCATCTCTCCCCGCGTCTCTCTCTCACACTCTCTCCCTCTCTCACACACACTCTCCGTCTCTCTCTCTCACACTCTCTCTCTCTCTCTCTCGTTCCAGGTCGACCTGAAGAGATCGTTCACTTTCCGCAACTCAAAGCAAAGCTACGTTGGGATTCCCATCATCGCGGCCAACATGGACACCGTGGGCACGTTCGAGGTGGCCAAGACTCTCAGCAAGGTCGGCCCCTCTCTCCCTCTCTCCCTCTCCGTCTCTCACACTCTCTCCATCTCGCTCTCAGTCGCTCACACTCTCTCCATCTCTCCCCGTGTGTGTCTCGCACTCTCTCAGTCGCTCACACGCTCTCCATCGCTCTCTCTCTCTCTCCGCGTCTCTCGCACTCTCTCCCATCTCTCTCTGTCGCTCACGCTCTCTCCATCTCTCTCTCTCTCTCTCTGCGTCTCTCACACTCTCTCAGTTGCTCACTCTCTCCATCTCTCACACACTCTCTCCATCTCTCACACTCTCTCCCATCTCCCTCTCAGTCGCTCACACTCTCTCCATCTCTCCCCGTGTGTCTCTCGCACTCTCTGTCGCTCACACGCTCTCCATCGCTCTCTCTCTCCGCGTCTCTCGCACTCTCTCCCATCTCTCTCTGTCGCTCACGCTCTCTCCATCTCTCTCTCTCTCTCTCTCTCTGCGTCTCTCACACTCTCTCAGTTGCTCACTCTCTCTATCTCTCACACACTCTCTCCATCTCTCTCTCAGTCGCTCACACTCTCTCCATCTCTCTCTGTGTGTCTCACACGCTCTCTGTCGCTCACTCTCTCTCCATCTCTCTCTCCCTGTCTCTCACACACTCTCCATCGCTCTCTTGTGTCTCTCTCACTCTCTCCATCTCTCTCTCCGTCTCTCACACTCTCAGTCGCTCGCACTCTCTCCATCGCTCTGTGTCTCGCACTCTCTCCCTCTCCCTCTCGCGGTCGCTCGTATTCTCTCCATCTCTCTGTGTCTCTCACACTCTCAGTCGCTCACACTCTCTCTCTCTCTCACACTCTCTCTCTCTCTCTCACACTCTCTCTCTCTCTCTCCCCCCAGTTCTGCCTATTCACTGCGATACACAAACATTACAGTTTAGCCGAATGGAAGGAATTCGCTTCAAGCAATCCGGACTGTCTGGAGGTGAGCAGAGAGGAGTGTGTGCAGCCTCACACACTGACACACTCATACACACACACTCACACTGACACACACACAGACACACTCATACACACACACTCACACACACACACTGACACACAGACACACTCATACACACAGACACTCACACACAGACACACTCACATACACACTCACATACACACTCACACACACACAGACACACTCATACACACACACTCACATACACTCACACACAGACACACTCATACACACAGACACTCACACACACACACACTCATACACACACACACACTCACACACACACAGACACACTCATACACACACACTCACATACACTCACACACAGACACACTCATACACACAGACACTCACACACAGACACACTCATACACACACACACACTCATACACACACACACACTCACACTGACACACAGACACACTCATACACACACACTCACACACACACACTCACACACACACACACTCACACACACACACACACTCACATACACACTTACACACACACAGACACACTCATACACACACACTCACATCCACTCACACACAGACACACTCATACACACAGACACTCACACACACACACAGACACACTCATACACAGACACACACACTCACACAGACACTCACAGACACACTCATACAGACACTCACACACACAGCCACGCGGACACTCACGCGGACGCTCGCACACAGACTCACAAACACAGGCGCTCACACACGCGCACTTGCACACTTTCTTCTCTCTCTCTCGCCTGCCAGAACATCGCGGCCAGCTCGGGCACCGGACAGAGCGACCTGGAGAAGCTCACGGAAATTCTGGAAGAGATCCCCGGCGTTCAGTACATCTGCCTGGACGTGGCCAACGGATATTCCGAACATTTCGTGGAGTTCGTCAAAAACGTCAGGAAAAAATTCCCCTCCCACACAATCATGGTGAGATTTACTGTGTGTGTAACCCTGACCTGGGAGTGTAGTGACTGTGTGTTACTGTGTCTGTAACCCTGACCTGGGAGTGTAGTGACTGTGTGTTACTGTGTCTCTAACCCTGACCTGGAGTGTGGACGGGCGCACAGTGTAGAGGGAGCGTTTTAGTGTGTGTAACCCTGACCCGGGGATGTAGTGACTGTGCGTTACTGTGTGTGTAACCCTGACCTGGGGGTGTAGTGACTGTGTGTTACTGTGTCTCTAACCCTGACCTGGGAGTGTAGTGACTGTGTGTTACTGTGTGTGTAACCCTGACCCGGGGTGTAGAGGGAGCGTTACTGTGTGTGTAACCCTGACCTGGGGTGTAGTGACTGTGTGTTACTGTGTGTGTAACCCTGACCTGGGAGTGTAGTGACTGTGTGTTACTGTGTGTGTAACCCTGACCCGGGAGTGCGGACGGACGCGCAGTGTAGAGGGAGCGTCACTGTGTGTGTAACCCTCCTGTCTCTAGGCTGGGAACATTGTCACAGGAGAAATGGTTGAGGAGCTGATTCTGTCCGGCGCAGACATCATAAAGGTCGGAATCGGACCAGGTGAGATACCAGTAATTAATAACGATCCCCGGCGCCCGATCGCGTCGCCGAGACGTCTCAAAGCGCTTCGCGGGACACGCCGCCGAGTGTCGTGGCTGCGTGTTTTGGGGGTGAAACGCAGAAGCCGAATTATTATGAGTAGTGGTATTATTATTTTGAAGGGATTATTCCCCCCGGAAAGCGATCCCCCAATCGCCTGACGAGCGACTGACTGCCGGGGACACCGGCGCACGAGCGCGCGCGTGTCTGTCTGTCTGTGTGTCTGTGTGTGTGTAGGAAGGAAACTTGCCCAAGTCTAGCCCGGGACTGGATGAATTATTAATTATGATTATTATTATGATCTCCAGGGTCTGTCTGTACGACTCGCAATAAAACAGGAGTGGGATACCCTCAGCTCAGCGCTGTCATCGAGTGCTCAGATGCAGCCCATGGATTGAACGGACATATTATATCAGTGAGTGTGAGAGAGAGAGAGACTGAGAGACACTGAAAGAGAGACTCTTAAGTGTACGTGTGTGAAAATGTGTGTCTGTGTGTGTCTGTCTGTCTGTGTGTGTGTGAGTGTCTGTGAGAGAGACATTTATTTAGTGTTTCTCTCCCTATTACAGGACGGAGGTTGCACGTGTCCTGGAGATGTCTCTAAAGCTTTCGGTCAGTCTCTCTCTCTCTCTCTAACACACTCACTCCCTCTCTCTCTTGCTCACACTCCCTCTCTCCCTGTGTGTGGGAGCGGGGGCTGTTTTTCTCTCTCTCTCTCTCTCCCGCGCTCTCACACTCCCTCTCTCCGTGTGTAGGGGCGGGGGCTGTTTTTCTCTCTCTCTCTCCCGCGCTCTCTCACACTCCCTCTCTCCCTGTGTGTGGGAGCGGGGGCTGTTTTTCTCTCTCTCTCTCTCTCTCTCTCCCGCGTTCTCTCACACTCCCTCTCTCCCTGTGTGTGGGAGCGGGGGCTGTTTTTCTCTCTCTCTCTCTCTCTCTCCCGCGCGCTCTCACACTCCCTTCTCCCTGTGTGTGGGA